CAGATTTTATGTGGTCCAGATCGTTGTTGGTTATCATAGGGAGCAGGACGTTTGGTTTGTCGTTGGATGGCCTTGTCTAGTTTGCGGTTGTTCTGATTTGAAGATCCAGCAGCATATGAGCTTGGGACAACACTGTCTCCTCCATCAGGAACCTTCCTCTTGGTGACAAGGGCATTGATGGATACGATTGAAGGCGCAATTTTCATTTCAACTTCTTCATGCTTCAAGCATTGAAGAACAACAGCCAATGAAACAGGCCTTCCCATAATTTCGCCTTGACGAACTTTATCTCGAAGAGAATCACGGCAGTATCGCCACTCATCAGACTGCGACATGAGGGTGACAATATGCTTGGCGAATTTGGTGTCAGGCATCATGAGAGGATCGGCATCCCGCAGTTTTTGGTACAACTGGACCATCACCTGTCTCCAGCGAACAGGATCATCGTGAGTTCCGCATTCATATCCGATGATTTGCTGTTTGATAGTTATAGCCGTCAATGTGTTTGCTGGTTCATATTCGTTCTTCAAGGTTATCCAGGCATCGTGTGCAGACTTGCAATCACGAACGACATACAGCCTTTCAACTGGAACGGCTTTGACTATGATGGCGTGAGCCCTCTTGTCAGCAAGAAGCCAAGCTTCAGCATCCCTCTTTGCATTCTCAACCACAACCTCGTTCCCAGGAATGGTGACAGTGACAGTAGCTCCCGCATTGTCGAGACCTTGAACCTGCTGACTCTGCCTGAGTACAGGTATGACTGGTGGATTATAGTCCAGGCCATTGACATATTTCCAGTATCCAGCAGCATCAAGCTCAAGCTGAGACTTCTGCTTGAACTCATTGAAATTGTTCATCCCATCCTCTTCTTCCTTGATAGGGGTAAGCTATATCCCTTTCCATTCTTTCTCCTTATCGACAGAGCTTTGATTGGCAGACATTCTGAGTTTCTGAGTGCAGGCAGTTGAAGAGAATCACGATAGCGAGGACTGAGAGAGGTTGTTTCAAAATTGGCAGAGGACGTAGTGCGCGTTTAGAAACACTCGGGGCCCATAACCTGTTGAATATATATATATGAAAGCTGGTACAGTGAGAGGAACGTTAAGTTGTCTCACTGTCCAGTTTGTACACATAAGGCCTGACTAAGACGTGGAGTCACATTCTAACACCTGGGGGCACTGGGAAGACCTACATTTACAACACTCTCTGCTACTTTCTGCGTGGTCAGCACAAAATTATTATCTGTGTTGCATCCTCAGGTATTGCTGCTCTTCTTGTCATTGGTGGCCACACCTCTCACTCATGCTTCAAAATTCCTATCAACATTAATGAGACTTCTACATGTCAATTTAGCAAGAACTCTTTTTTGGCAGATCTCATCAGATTGGCAGATCTTATCATCTGGGATGAGGCTCCAATGCAGCATAGACACATTCATGAGGCTGTTGATCATACTTTTTGTGATGTGAGGAGCCCTGACAAGCCATTTGGAGGTCTTTCTGTGGTCTTTGGGGGAGACTTTCAACAGATCCTTCCAGTCATTGTTAAAGGGTCACGTGCTCAGATTGTCAATGCATGCATGCAGCAGTCCACTGTTTGGCACTCCTTGAAGGTGCTTCACCTGACTCAAAACATGCGGCTCAATGTTGATGATGCACAGGGAAGAGATTTTGGACATTGGCAGATTGACATTGGGCATGGCCAGCATACAAATGAGTCAGATGATGTCTCTTTGCCAGAATCATTTAGTCTCTCATTGATACCATCTATCCTGGAATTGGTCTCCTGCCCCATCCTGAAGATCACTATTTTTCTGACCGCACTATTCTCTCAAGTCACAATGATGATGTTGATGACCTTAACCATACTATCCTCAATCACTTTCCCAGTGAACTTAAAGTATTCCAAAGTGCTGACTCAATTGAAGATAATGAGGGGCATGGAGAGGAGGGTATTCTAATGTACCAAGTGGAATATCTTAACAGCATCAACTGCTCTGGGTTACCTCTTGCAAAACTTGCCCTGAAGGTTGGGTGTCCTGTTATGGTGTTGTGAAACATCAATCCAGGAGATGGGGTTTGCAATGGATCATGTGGTATTTTGACACATGCAACACCACAAGTGCTGGAGGTTTGACTTCTCAATGGAGAACATGCTGGAGAGCTGATTTTCATTCCTTGGATGGGAATCATTCCTAATGAGACACAAGTTCCATTCAAACTTAAACATCTACAATTTCCAGTTCGGCTGTGTTCTGCTATGACTATTAACAAGTCACAGGGTCAATCTGTGAATCATGTGGGGATAGATGCCAGATCTGCTGTATTCACTCATGGGCAATTCTATGTTGCCATTTCACGAGTTACTTCTGTTCATAACATCAAGATAATATGGGATGACCAACTTCCAAATCCTGTAACAAAAAATATTGTATATCCTGAAGTACTTCTTAACTAAATTGGCTATATGGTAATAAGTCTTATACTATGATTTTTGTATAACTTGAACTACTGTAAATATGCATATGTTAGTGGATATAGACATTGGAATAGAAATTGTGCATTAGAACTGGGTTGCCCCCGGCAAGCTGTGAACCGCACCAGAGGCGTGGCCGAGCGTTAGCGAGTGCTGTGCCATAGGTGCGGTTCTAAAGCTTGTCTAAAATAATAATGAGAGCCTCGCCAAACAACAGGTGATTAAATAAACGATGCTTGATAGGCGGCATCACTGAGGCCCCCTGAAAGTCCCCTTGGAGGCTGGTTGGCAAAATCAGGCATTTTCGGGTTTTCTGTCCATCCCATTTCCAGCAAAACCTGTCCAAATTGCACCTGGCCTTTGCCAACTTTTCGAAAATTTGTCCGGACTTTGGGAACAGGCCTTCTGGAGGTCCAAAATGTGTCCGGACTACAGGATACAGCCTTCTGAGAGCTCAAAATTTCTATACAAGTAGCTTACATGACTCTACAAGCCAATAAACACAGACTGTCAAGTAAAAAACTATTTCTTCTCTCGTTTCCTGAACGCCTTCATTGCCAGCCTAAGTTGGACAATGGAATTACCCCGGCAAAGATCATTGAACAGAGTCATGTCAGTGGGGGAGAGGTCAAACCCAGTGGATTCAAGGCTTGCGGAC